GAACATTTTTTCATGTTTATTTGCTATTTTTACTTCTTTGTCTAAGAAATGTCTGTTCATTTCAGATGCCCATTTTTGGAATTGGATCTTTAAATTTGGGAGGTCTGACTTTTTAAAGTTCTTTATATATTCTAGATAGCAGACCTTTGTCTGAGGGACAGCTGGTGAAAATTTTTTCCCACATTGTGGGCTGTCTCTGCACACTGCTGGTGGTTTCTCTCACTGTACAGAAGATTTTTAATAAGAAGACATTACACTTGTTGATTGTGCTACCTCATGGGCAACTGAGGTTTTGTTCATAAAATCTTTTCCTACACCAATGTCTTCAAGAGTTCTACCTAACCTCTCTTCCATCCAGTTTGTTTGTTTTAGTATTTAGATCTTTAATCCATTTCAATTTTAAGTATAGTGCATGGTGAGAGATATAGGTCTAATTTTAATCTTTGACAAGTTGAAACCCAATTTTTCCAGCACCATTTATTAAAGAGGCTACCTTTCCTCCAGTGAGGGTGTTTGGCTCCTTTGTCGAAGATGAGGTGGCTGAGTGTGTCTGGTGTTGTTTCTGCATCTTCTAATCTGTTCCACTGGTCCTCAGGTCTGTTTCTTTGCCAGTACCATGCTGTTTTTTAATCACAGTAGCTTTGTAGTATAGTTTAAGTTGGTGATTGTGATAACCCCTACCTTGTCTTTATTGTCTAGTATTGCTTTTGCTGTTCTAGGTCTTTTTTTGTGCCAAATGAATTTTTAGATTGTTTTCTCCAGGTCTGTGAAGTATGCTGCTGGAATTTCAATTGGAATTGCATTGAATCTATATAACAGTTTTGGAAGTATGGCCATTTTCACTACGTTGATTCTTCCTACCATGTCTTTCCATTTTTTGATATCCTCTTCCATCTCTTTTTTCAGAGTGCTACAGTTTTCAGAGTAGAGGTCTTTGATTTCTTTTGTTAGGTTGATTCCTCGGTATTTCAGTTATTTGGATGTTATTGTGAAAGGAACTGATTGCCCTATTTCTCTCAGTGAGTCTGTTTTTTGTGCAGAGGAAAGCTATTGATTTTTGTGTGTTGACCTTGTATCCAGCTACTCTACTGAATTTGCTTCTTAAATCTAGAAGATTCTTGGTGGAGTTCTTGGAGTCTTTCTATATAGAGTATCATGTCATCCGCAAATAATGACAATCTGACTTCATTTCCTATCTTTATTTCTTTCTCTTGTCTAATTGCTGTGGCTAATGTCTCCAAAACTATATTGAACAGGGGTGGTGATAGTGGACATCCTTGTCTTGTTCCTGATTTTAGTGTGAAGGATTTCAGTTTTTGACCATTTAGTATGACACTGGCTGTTGGTTTTTCATAGATGGCTTTTATCAGATTGAGGTAGAGACCGGCTATTCCAATTTTTCTGGAAAGTTTTTTTATCATAAATGCATAATATTCTGTATCTTGATTGTGGTGGTAGTTACACAGGATTACATTTGTAAAACTCAATCTGTGTGTGTAAAATTCATGTATTTCATTTTATGTAACTTTTTCCTCAATAAAATTCATTAAGTTTTTTTAAATGTTCATATTTAGATTTCATTTGAATAATTAGTATATGTCTCATAATTGATTCAGAAACGAATTTACTAAAACTGCATCCAAATTGTTAGTCAACAAATATTTACTGACATATACTGTATGCCAGGCTTCATGCCAAACATAGCTAAAAATGAGAAATAGCCCTTGCCCTTGAGCAACTCACAGGTTAATGGGAAGATAAGCACATAAACCAAAGCTGCAACTGACATAAAAAAATGTCAGAACTGCACTGAGACTACTTTATAAAGAACCCAGACCCTTTCTAAGAACTTATCTGTGAGGCAATTGCACTTATTATAAGGATATCTATCCCAAATACTCAAAGTTGAAAACATACCAACAAACCAAAGTTCCTTTAGCCTTGTCCCTGTATCTCATGGCACATTTTCTGATGAAAGTCTTATTACTTCAAGGGTATGGTTTCTCTGTCTTTTAAACAATGGAAAATTATTCACAAATACATTTTATGACTACCATTCTGGAAAACGGTGATAGTACAAAGTCAATAAACTTGTTTTTCTACATAGTCTGAAGATAATGCCTGAACGATGTTTGGCACAAACAACACAGAATTATTGGAATAATGTGTAACTTCTTCACAGGGGCTAAAGGACTTTGCCTCTTTAAATGATTAAGTCCTGGTTTGTTTAAGGGTGGATTTAAAGAACTTATTACTTTGAAATTGTATCTTATAAACAGTTATTCAAAATGATAATTTAAACTATATATCCCTATATATATACATGCATGCTTCAGTGAAAATCTTGGTTTTAGCTTTAGAATATTCTTGGACAAACTGCTTAATGTCTCAGTGTTGTGTATAAAATAGAGATAAAAGTAGAATCTACCTTAGAAGGTTTCTGTAAATAATAAACGAGATAACAGATGTGAATAAGGGGCCAGGGATTTAGCTCAGTGGTTCTGGCACCTGCCTTGCAAGCGCAAGGTCCCGAGTTTGATGCTCAGTACCAAAAAAATAAATAAATAAATAAACAGATGTGAATAAAATAATCCTATAATAAATGAGATAATCCATGTGAAGCACTTAGAACAGGGCCTGACATATAAAAATGCACTTAATAAATGTTTACAGTTATTATTATATATACATAAAGGATGTTAAAGTTTGGGAGAAAGCACTAAAAGTGATCATTATAAAAAAATCAAAAAGGCAAATAAGAAGAAGAAATGCTAAGGCATTAGTAATTTGAAGACTAAGATTCATAAATTTTCCAGTAAGCAAGTTTCTTTTTGTTTTGTTTTATTTTTGTGGTCCTGGGGATTGAACCCAGGGCCTTCCACAATAAGCCACATCCTCAGCCACACACACCCTGCCCAGTTTTTTGCCCAGGCTAAACTCAAACTTGCAGTCCTCCTGCCTCAGCTTCCCAGAGTACTAGGATTACAGGTATATCCCACCATGCCCAGGAACAAGTTTTTAAAATTCATTTTCCTGTGAGAATATATAATCATCTTAATGCTCAGTAACAACATGGTAGGGCCAGGGATTTAGCTCAGTGGTTTCACCGCCTGACTTGCAAGCGCAAGGACCCGAGTTCGATCGCTGGTACCAGAAAAAGAAAGAAAGAAAGAAAAAAGCTCAAGTAACAACATGCCAGGCACGGTGTAGACACATTTACTGTTAATAAATCAACTATTTCACTATAATGGGATTGTTTTAATAACCAACTTAATAACTTCTATTTCTGTTTCGGATATCTTTTTTAGTTGCCGAATTATCTTGCTATTCCTTTCTCTAGAGGGGTGCAATTCTTTGGGGGTTTTTTTTGGGGGGGTGGGGTTGGTTTTTTTGCAGGGGAGAGGCACTGGGAATTGAACCCAAGTACTCACATACTAGGCAAGTGCTCTAGCACTGAGCTACAACCTCAACCCTAGAATTCTGGATTACAGGATTTTCTTCCCATTGGAACAGAAAGACCTACATTGAGAAAGTATAACGGTTTCACCTATTTTCTGACAAGCACTCCTAAAAGTTATCTGTGTCCTACTCATAAATTACAGAAGAGTTAAAAGTGCTGAAAGGCAACAGAAAAACAGATTATGGACAGATTATAGAGGAAAAAGAAAAATTCAAATCTAAGGAGATATAATTTTTTTTTTCTTTGTGTACTGGGAATCAAACTCAGGGCCTCACATCTGCCAGGCAGCCAGGCAGGCACTGTGCCACTGAGCTACATTCCCAGCCACTCTGTACATTTTTAAGAAATTACTTGTTTGGTTAAAAAAAAAATCATGATTATGTCTATGTGGCAAGTTTTTGCATGTGTTTACTTTTGTGTATTTATAATATTTATATTTGTAGCTAAATTGAACATCAAATTGACATTTATGTAATTTGAAAAAGAGGGTTCTTTTTTTTTTTTTCCGTACCAGGGATGGAACTCGGGTCCCTGCGCTTGCGAGGCAGGCAGCGACCACTGAGGTAAATCCCCGGCCCTCTCTCATTTATGTTTGAGACAGGGTCTCACTAAATTGCCCAGGCTGGCCTTCAATTTAGAACCCTCCTGCCTTAAGCCTCCCAGGGAGCTGAGATTCCTGGCATGCACCAACACACCTGGTAAGCCAAAAATTTTTAAAGACGATTTTTACTTGGTATAGTGGTATATGCCTGCAACCCCAGCCCTTGAGAAGTTGAGGCTGGAGGCAGGAGGATCCATGAATTTGAGGTCAGCCTGGACTATAGTAGTGAGTTCAAGGCCAGCCTGGACTACCTAGCAAGACCCTGGCTTAAAAAAATAAAAAATTTCTAAGAGATTCTTTTCTGAGTGTCATAACTACATCTGTGTATGTGTGTGAATGCATACATCCATGCGGTTAATTTGATCTCTCTAGTACCTTTTTTTTTTTGGTACCAGGGATTGAACTCAGGTCCTTACACTTTCAAGGCAGGTGGCAGAACCACTGAGCTAAATCCCCAGCCCTTTAGTACCTCTTAAACAATTATCTTCACCACAGTGCAAATATTTTACTTAATAAGTTCTGATAATTTTTATCACTGAAGAACAGCTTAATGGAGTAAAAGCTAAACATACAAAAATACATTAATGTATAATTTTACCACGTACTTTTTTTTTTTTTGGTACCGGAGATCGAACTTGGGTCCTTGCGCTTGCGCAGCAGGCAGCAAAACCACTGAGCTAAATCCCCAGCCCACCACGTAGCTTCTTAGAGGATCTCTAAAATAAAATAATTTAGGACTTGTTCTACTTACCTGTAAGCTCATGAACCAAATCTCAAGCATGTCAGATAATTTCAATATTCATAAATCTCAATAAAAATGGTTGAAATACAGTTTTGCCAGCCAACTGTATGATAAATATTTACTGAATTGCCTACAGGAGACCCACTATGTTATACCAAAAATAGAAGTTCATAAAGCAATTAAAAATTGCTACTCACCAGCAAGGGTATAATCCATATCAAAACCAAAACACTTTATTTTTTCCATGGCTAAACTTCGGTTCACAAACACCCTATGGAAAAAAAAAAAAAAAGAGTAAAAGTGATACCATAATTAACACTACAAAAAAGTCTGAAGTTTAATAAAGTTATTTGGCTCTTCTTCTAGATTTATTTTTCCAACTGATCTTTTTATATAAAGGGATCTAACATGAGTTCTGATACACTTACCTTGACATACATACATATAGTGATTACTAGAGTCTAGCCAACTAACATACCATACAGTTTTTCCTCTTCCTTTTTTTCCCTTCCTTCCTTCCTCCTTTTGTAGTTAGAGTACCTAAAGTCTACTCTCTGGGTAAATTACCAGTCTTCTGCATTATTATCTATAATATTCATGGTGTACAAAGTCATCCTACATAACTGGAACTATTACCCTTGGATCAACATCTTCCCATTCCTTCCCACAACCACCGCTTTTACTTTATTTTTAGGCATTTTTGTTTATAATTCTACATATAAATTAGATCATGCATACTTTTCTATGTCTAGCTCATTTCACTTAGCATAATGTTTTCTAGGTTCATTCACATTGCAAATAGCAGACTCTTCTTCTTTAAGGCTAAATAATATTCCTATGTCTGTGTTACAATTTCTTTAATCATCCACAGATAAGATACTTCAGTTGTTTCTGTATCTTGACCATTGTGAATAATGCTGCAATGAACATAGGAGAGTAGATTTTTTTTTTTTTTTGGTACCGGGGATCAAACTCAGGACCCTTGGCTTGCCAGGCATGTGCCCACACCATTAAGCTAAATCCCAGCCCCTTGAGAGCAGATACTTTTACAAGGTGGTGGCTTCATTTCCCTTGGGTATACAACTATAAGAGGGATTGCTGGTTTGTATTTTTAATTTCCTTAGGAACCTTTACACTGTTTTCCACTGTGGTTACATAGTGTTCATGGGTTCCCTTTTCTATACCCCTTTGCCAAGACTTGTTATTTTGTCCTTTTGATAAAAACTCTAGGGGCAGGGATTTAGCTCAGCGGTTTTGCTGCCTGCTGCGCAAGCGCAAGGACCAGAGTTAGATCCCCGGTACCAAAAAAAAAAAAAAAAGTCATATTTAGAGTTCCTTTATGTATAATCTTGATTGAAAGCCA